ATATATGTTATAATATAAATAAATAATTATATATATATATATATAGATATATATATATATATATATATATATATATATATATATATATATATATTTATATATATATTATAATAATAATTTTTTTTATTTTTTATACAGGAGAATTAACTCTTTATCTTTATCCATTTTATCCCACTACTCCAAATTTTTCTCTTTTTTTTTCATCTCTATTTTCTTCCTCTAACACTTAGAAAACACTATGGAATTCTTTTTAGTATCTATTTTTTAATAATTAATATTCACTTCCTTATCTTTTTACTGTGTTTATTTCTTCTTCCATTTTACTTTCTTTGTCTTTAATTTTCTTCTTTTAAAATTTTAATTCTTTACTATCTTCAATTATTCTTCTGGATAATATTTTCTTTATTTCTCTATAAAGGTAAAGTTCTTGTCTTATCTTATCTATTTGAACTTTTAATTCGTTATTTTCCGCATTTGCGTAATTGAATTTATTTCTCACGTTTTCTATTTTCAAAAACGATGCTTTTATCATCTTTTATAATCTTTAAGGGTTCAACAACATGACTTCTTAGACTTATTCTCGTCTTTTTCGAGGAGAATTTTCTTCTTATTTAGCTATTTCATCTATATTTATACGTCTTTTTAACATTATGTCATGTCTTTTTTAATCTAATAATTATTTTGCTTATTTTATTTCTTCTTCTAATGTATTCTATTTTTGTTTTATTTATTTTTTTTATGTTTTTTTTAATTTTTTACAAGCCTTTCAGACTCCTTTTTTTTATTTAAATCAAATTACTTACCAATATGTTATATTCTTGCTATCTTAGATGCCATCATAGGGTTTTTGTTTAAAGATATTGTTGATATAAATTTAGAATCTACATACTTTTTTTTTATTGATTAATTTTTTTATTTATATATTTTTATTAAGAAAAATAGTTTATTATTTTGAATATTTACATTTTGGTTTTTTAAATCTTATGATGATTTATGAAAGTTTTATTATGTTTTCATTACTTTATGTAATTTTATATTTATGTATTTTTTTATATAAAAAGTAATATTTATTTTTTAATATTTACTTAAGAATAATTATTATTATTATTATTTCACAAATAAAATAATTGAATTTAAAAATATTTTTTTAATAAATTATATGCTTTTTTACATTTAATTTAAATAATAAATATATTGATATAAAGAGTTTTTATTATTGTTTCATATTTTAAATGTAAAAATAAATAATTATTCTATAAAAATATATTATAAAACTTTTTTATATTTGAATTAATAATATAAATAAATTATTATATTATATATATATAAATAATTAAACATTTAATAATAAATTAAAAAAAATAATAATAAAATAAACATAAAGAAAAATATTTATTAATTATATATATATATATATATATATATAATATATATATATATATATATATATATATATATATATATAATTTAATTAATTAATTATTTATAATATTATAATACTGATAAAACAATATCAATATTTTTATTTATAGGAAAATAACATAAGAAAATATAAATTTAAAATACATTCTAATATAAAAATGCATTATTTTAATAAAATCTTAATATAAATGTTATAAATTAAATTTTAAATAATTTTAAATTATAAATAAAAGTTTAAAAGTTATTCTAACAAAAACTTTTTATTTAAAAAAATAATATATTTAATATACAAAGTATAAATTTATATTTTTTAAAAAATAAAAAAAATTATTTATAATTAAATAAAAAATAAAATAAATTATTTTTTATTTTTGAATTGAATAATAAACTAAAAAAAAAAATATATTATATTTATTTAAAATAAATAGATAAAAATATTAATTTTAAAATATAAGTTAAATAAAAGAAATAAAGGTATTGATTTTTTTTTTGTCAAAAATAATTAAAATTTATTTTAATTTATCTTAAAAAATAATTTAATTTAATTCTTTAATTAAAATAAAGTTTTTAATAAGGTAAACAAATAAAACATTATTTAAAATAAAAGTGTAAATATATCATCAAACATATAATAAATATTATTCATAATTTTTTTTTTATATTAATAGAATATTTTATTTATTAAAAAAAATTAAAATTGCATTATATAATTTTATAAAAAGAATAATAAATTTTATATTTAAATTTAATATATTTTACCATATATATTATTAAAATAAATAAATCAACATTTAACTTTATTTATTAAAAAAAATATAAATCTAATATTTTTTTATTTAAAATAAAATATTAATAAAAATATGACTTAATAAAAAGATCCTAATTAAAGCGCTATGCAAATAATGAAACCTTTTATTTTTGCAGGAATTGCTGGTTGCACAGCCACAAGTTTTACTATGCCTATAGATTCAATAAAAGTAAGAATTTAACTAGCAAGTGAAGCTATAGCTTAAGGAAAAGGTGAAGGATAATCTATTAACCCAATCAAAATTTTAACTAAATCAATAAAAGAGGAAGGTCCTAAAGGATTATACAAAGGGTATTAAAATATAAATATATAATTATATAAATAATATATAAATCAAAAAACAAAACTGTATTTTTCCTATAATAAAATAAAATTATTAATATTTATTTTTATTTTGTCAATATTATTTTATTTAAATTGTATACATTACATATATATAATATAATATAAAATTTAAATATATATATAATATTATAGCCTAGATGCAGCGCTTGTAAGATAAGTTACTTATGGAACAGTACGTATGGGTCTTTATAGATATTTATCTGATGTTTAGTAACATAAAAAAAATAGTAATATAAATTAAAAATTACTTTTTATTAATTTTATATACAAAAAATTTAAATAAATATTTATATTTATGAATTTAATAATATTTTTGTATTTTAATTTTAATAATAAATAATTTTTATTCATTAGGAAATCTTTATATTTATGAGAAAATCATTACTTCATCTTTTGCAGGTATAGTTGGTTGTATGTTTGGAAACCCTGCTGATGTTGCTTTAGTTAGAATGTAAGGCGATAAATCTCTACCTATTGAATAAAGAAGAAATTATAAAAATATTTCCGATGCTTTAATTAGAATCGTAAAGGAAGAAGGAATTTTAACTTATTGGAGAGGTTCCTTTCCCTCTATTATTAGAGCTATTGCAGTAATTAAATTAATATTAAATTTTTAAATATAATAAAAAAAATATTAAAATTTTATTTTAAAATATTAATATAATAAATTAAAATATATATATGTAAGATGAATATATATATAGATATATATATATATATATATAAATATATATATATATATATAATTATATATTAATATATTATAATAATTAAATTTTATTATTATTTAAAATAGATGAATGTTGGTATGATGACAACATATGATGAAATTAAAGAGAGATTAAATAGTTTAACAAAACATAAAAATTCTTTATATATATAATTGGCGTAAACAAAACAAAACATATTATATATTTATTAATATTTAAAGATCTTCTGCTTGTTCAGGAGTAGTATGTGCATTTTTATCATTACCTTTTGACAACGCAAAAACTAAAATGTAAAGAATGAAAGCTGGTCAAGATGGAAAATTACCCTATAATAATGTTATTGATTGTATAAAAAAAGTATTTTTTTATATATTTTAATATATTATCTATTAAAATTAGACTATTGTAAACGAAGGTCCTACTAAACTTTGGGTTGGATTTTCTACTTATGTTATGAGAGTATCTCCGCATGCTATGATTGTATATATTATATATATATATAAAAGAAATGAAATATATATAAAAAGATATTATATATAATATATAAAAGAATATATATTAAAATTAATATATAAATATAAAGATATATATATATATTATCTTTATAAATATTTATATAAAATATTTTTATAAAATATTTTTATTTATAATATATTTATTTATACTAATATTTACCAAATATTTTTAGTCTTTATTAGTTTAAGAATTTTGTGCTCATTAATTTAATAAAAAACCAACAACATAATGACATTTATACGAAATATTTTTTTTTATAAAATTTAAGAAATAAAATATTATAACATTATAACGAAATTTTCGTTTTTATTTAAGTGTTTATTTTTTTATTTTTATATATTTTTCTAATTTATCTGAATTTATATTAATATTTATATATATTTAAATTTTATATTCTCAAAATAATAATAATAATATAAATTATAAAAAAAATTTTATATATTATTTATAATTTTAATATTTTTTACATATTTTTTTTATTATTATATTAATATAATAACAAATTTTATTTTTTATATAATATAATAGTTTATATTTTTTTATATTCTTTATTTTTAAAATTATACATATAAATTTTTTATAATTTTTTTTACTCTAAATAATTAAAAATATTATTAATATTTTAATAATTTAATTAAATAAAAAATCAAAATAGATAAATAATTAAAAAAAGATAAATAATATATTCTCAATCAAACTCAAAATACCATAGATATTAATCAAATTCATTCTAAAAAATTAAATTTTCTTTTATTTTATTCAATTTAATTATTTTTTTCTCAACCATATTTATTTTAATTCCTTATTCTTCCAAAAGTTAATTAGCTTCTTCATTATTTTTATTAACGAATAAATCCAATCTTTCTAAATTTTTCAATTCCTCATTTAGTTTTTTTCCCATTTCATCAATATTTTTCATTCCTTCTTTACACTTCATTTTATTCATAAATTATTACATTTATTCTTTATCTTTTTCCCTTTTCTGAATTGCTTCTTGTAGTTATTTACTCGTTGGTTTTATTGGAGCTCTATTACTTCGTAGTTTGTTCCATTAAATATTTTTAAAAAACGGATGAGCTTTTATTTCGTCAGCTCCTTTAGCCCCTAGTCTTTCTTTATAGTTCGGATTTAATAATTTTTGCATTAAATCAGCTGCTTCAGGTGATATTTTATCTCCATCTTCAATATCACCTATTTCAGGCCATGTAATGTTCATATTTTTGATATTCTCGAATATTTTTTCTACTGAGTCATCATTAAAAGGAGGTACTCCAACTAAAAATTCATACATAATGATTCCCATACTCCACCAATCTAGCGATTTATTATTCGTAGATTCACCTCTAATAATTTCTGGAGCAATGTAATCCGGAGTACCAACAATTCTTTTTTCTTCATGTTTTTATTATTTCTTCATTATTCCGCCTTCGACTTAAATTTCTGTAATATACTCATTTTCTTTATTTTATTCAATATTAATAAATTCTTTTATATCTCCCATTTAATTTTTCTGTTTATGTAAATTTAACTTATTATTAAAACCGACTTCAGACAAACCAAAATCAGCTAATTTTAAATGGCCAGATTAATCAATTAACATATTATCAGGTTTTAAATCTCTATGCACTATATTTATTTAATGTAAATATTCTATAGCCAAAACTAATTCAGCCATATATATTTCTGCTATCCATTAGTCTAAACATGTATATAAATTTAAGATTCTACAAAAATCACCGCCCATCATATATTCTAGAACAAAACATATATAATTTTCATGAGTAAAGGAATAAAACTAAATTTATTATATATACATAAATATGCTTTATTTTTATATATATTAAATTTATATGTATATATTTTTTCTATATTAGTTTTTTAATATTTACGGCTTTAACTACCCAATCGCCTGAAATTAATTCGAAAACATTTTTTTCTGAAATTAAGGTTTCAATGAATTTTTTATCTAATTTCTTTTTATTTATATATTTTATTGTTGATTATATATATATATATATAATTTACTTTTATACTTGTATCTATTATTTTCATTGCAAAAAGATCATTAGTATTTTTTTTTTTACTAAATAAACATACCCATAAGCTCCTTAACCTAATAATTTTATAAATTCAAAATCTTTAAATCCTATTGACAATTAATCTTTTTTTTTCTAGGCATCTAATTTAACAAATTCAGAGTCACTATAATATCCTTTCTCATTAATAATATTATACGCCTAAAAATCAGGAATATCAGGATAATAGCTTTCTACAGGTTTAGGAGGGGGTTCATATATTAATTCCTCTTCTGTTTCTTATTAATTTTAAAGGTAATAAAACGAGCTTTTTTTTCTAACATTTTATTCTTCTTCTTATCTTTGTTAAAGTAATTAAACATATGGAGGCAAATCAATATCTAAATCATTGTTTTTTTAAGTTTCTTCTTCAATAAATTTCTTTAAGAGGACTTCTCCACTGGAATCGTTTGGGTTTTCCAATAAAGATGAATAACTATCGCTTTAAACTTCTTATATTATTTAATTTTCGATACTTTTTTAAATTTATATATTATTTTATTTTTCATAAAAAGGAGTATTTTCGTTTTCAGTACCTTTTTTTTTATTATCAAAATTTTTGAGCAAAGATAAAATTGTTTTTTATTTTTTTTTTTAATATTATTCAATTTCTTTTTCTATTTCTTATTTTTTTGTGTTTTCTTTTATTTCCTCTTGTTCATGTGTCTTTTAAAAATTAAAAATATTTTATATTTTTCGCTGTTAATTTCTTGTTTTTAAGGGGTTAAAAGCAGGAGAATCTATTTATTCATTTTCTTCTTCATGAATAACTTCGACTTAATCATGATCTTTTTTTATTTTTTCTTCTATTTATTTTATTTTATTTTATACAACTACTTCTTCTTCTTTTATTGTTTTAGGAGAGTATACCTATTTAGGAAAGTCAATTAATTTAGGTGAAACTATATTTTTCTATAATTAAGAATTTTTCTTTTATAAACGTTCATTTAAGTTTTTACTAGCAATAATTCGAGTAGGCTTTTTTTCTTCATTATTTGATTATATAGGAGAATTAATGTTTATATCATCAATTTTAAATAAAGGTAAATTTGTATTAAGTTCAACTTTTTTTAGCATTAAAGGAGAATTAAAATTTTATTCATCTATTTTTTATGTTGAAGGAGAATTATAAATAAGTTATTTTTAGTTTATATATTTATTATTTTAATTAGTAATAAATGGTGAATTTTCAACGATTTCATTTATAGAATTTTATTTTTCAGGCGTATTTTATTACTATTACTGTTATTATTATTATTATTAGAATTTACATTTCGCTTAAGATAAGCCTTTTACTTATTATTTTTTATTAAATGACATAGAAATTCCTTTTAACATTTGAGATCCTAAAGAAGGTGTATGACTGTTATTTTATTGAATATTTTTGATTTCTTGATCATTTTTCTATACACTCATTTATAAAGTTATTCTTTCCTCAAGATGCTTTGAGAAATTCTAGATTAATGTAAGCGTATCGATTATATCTTTTTTTTAGCTTTCTTTTCTATATGATATTAATTCGAGTACATCATTAACTTTTTATTTTAATTCCATTTCATCTTTTTATTTTATAAAATATTTTTATTTTATTTTTTATTTAAAAAAAATACTTTTTATATTTATAGTTTGTTCGTTATTATTAATAATCTTTTCGCCATAATTTATTATTTCTTTTAATAATTCTCCGTATTCTCTTATTTATCTTATTTATTCATCTTCTTCAGTATTACCATTATCTTAAGTATTAAATTTAGTTAAATTAGCCATTATTGTAGTTCCCATTTTTTTTTTATTGGCTCTATCTAATTTTATTCTTTCGCCATATTAATTTGCTCGAAAACTACTTGAGTTACTATTTATATTATTATTTGGAAATTATTATAAAGCAATTATTTCTCCTACTATTTTATTTTTTTAATCATTAATATTTTTGTTTTCTATGTTTTATGCATAATTTTATTTTTTATTTAAACTTTTTTTTTATTTTATTTTTTTAGTATTTTTTATTTTTTTACGTTTTTAAATTAATTTCTCTTCTAATATTTTGCCTTGTTTTTGTACATTCATCTACTATAGATATTAGTTCGATATCTAAAAGTAATATTTTTTTCTTTTTTTAACAATTTTTTAAGCATATAGCACTGTGTTCGTTTATTTCTTTTATATCAATATTTGTAGCATGACATAATCGGCATTTTATTAATATTTTTTTGTTTTTTATTTTCATTAATTGTTTTTAATAATAACTTTAATTAAAAAATAAATATAAAAAAATATATATATAAATATAAATATATATATATATATACATATATATTTATATATATATATTAATGTTTACTCTTATTAATATTATATCCATTTATAAATTTTATATTTGTAGTAATCAATATTTTTTTAAAAAAAAACTTCTTATATTGATAAAAAACGGAAAATTGGGAATAAACAAAATATCATTTTAGTTGATATCTATATCGAGCTTTTATCTTTATTATTTTTTTAAAAAGATTTTATGTTTTTGATTAAATGTTTTAACTTTTCTTTATATTCAATATTATCACTTTTTAATATATTTGGTTTTTATATTAAATTTTATTATTGAAATTCATATAATTATTAGCAATTATTTAATATTTATTCCTTTATAATATTTTAATATACAAATTAAACAAATGAATCTATATTTGTTACTTTTTAATCATCTTTTAAAGTTTTTATACATTTTTAAATATTTTAAATAAAATTTTTAATTCTATAATTTGTCTAAAATTTTTATATATTTTTAAATTAATTTATTATTTATATGTAAAAACTTCAAATAAGGAACAATTTAAATCTTCGAAAATTGTTTATTATTCAAAAATAAATGAGAATGTTTTAAATTCATAATCATATGAAAATTGACTCAAGTAAGTAATAAAATTAATATTCTTATTCTTTTATAAATTTATATAGAATTTTAATTATTTTTAAATATTATTAAAATAATATATATAATTTACTAAATCATAAAACGATTTAGCTTTTTTTCTCATTAAAAGTTTATTTCTGATTTAATTTTTTTTGTTATTTATATAAGATAAAAAAATATATATTTTAACAAAATATTAAAAATAAAAAAAAAAAAATAATTATAAATATAATAATTAATAATATTTAAACAAAATAAAAAATAAAAATTAAAAATTATAATTGTAATTATTAAAAATTTATTGTAAAAAATATATATATTAAATAATCAAATTATATAAACATTATAATAATATATATAAATATTTCCTTATAATAATATATATAAATATTTGATATATTTATTTAAATATTAAATATATTATTTAATATATATACTTTAAATTTTCTAATATGTTTTTTTATAAAATTAATTTATTTTATTTTTAATTTTATAAAACAAATATTAATTTATAAATTTAAGAATTTTTATAAGGATTTATTTTTATACATTAATAAAACTTTATTTTATTTTAAATGATAATATTTAAAAATAACATGTTGTTTTACTAATATTAAATATAATATTAATTGAATATAAAATAAATTAAAATAAAATATATATAAATTATAAATAACATTTATAAAGAATATATATATATATTTATATTTATTTAGATATAAAATAAAAAAGTATTTAGTTTAAATATTGCCAAAATAATAATAAAAAAATAACATGTACCTTCATAAAAAAAACAAAAAACCATTAATATTTTTACATAATTAATCTATTTAAATATTTATTTTTTTATTTTTTCTATTTCTAAATAAATAAATAAATAACTAAAAAATATCAATAAAATCAATAGAAAAATCCTAAAGCTTTACCACCGGTATGTCTTAATCTGCATTCTTCGTGAGTAAGGATACCATAAGTAGTTGTGAATACGACATGTCCAAATTATCTTGAAGGGAGAACATTGTTTGTCCATTTTTCAAAATCATTTAAAGGGACATCATATCTGGGTGAAATAACACCACATTTATTTATTCTTCCTAATAATTCGACGACTACTTTCTTTGATCTGTGATCATCAACTATTTCATATTCACCAATATATCCATTTTTTACATAATTCTCAAAAATCTCAATAGTACTTTTGAAACAGGGTTTTAAAAGGACTTGTTTTTTACCCCTTTTTTTTGCCTTAACTAAAGTTTTGAGGGCTTTTGGTAAAATATTTACCTTAACCCTTTTTTTTTTTTTTTTTTCTTTTATTACTAATTTTTTTTTTTTTTTCTTTTTTTTTTTTTTTCTTTTATTTTAAATAAAAGTAAATTTTTTAATTTTTTATTTTTGTATTATATATTAATTTAGATTTTTTTTATTTATTAAATATCATTTTATTTTTCTTATTTGTTTTATATATATTTTTTTTTTTGTTTAGTTTTATTTTTTGATTTTATTTGTGTAGTTAATATAAATAAAATAGGTTTTTTTATAAAATAAATAAAAAATTTGATTTTAAAGAAATTGTTATTAATAAAATAATTTGTTTCGTAATAAATAACTTTTTAGTTATTTAATTCATATAAAAATAAAAATTAATTTAATTATTTTCATATATAAAATATAAACATTTGATTTATATATTTTTTAAATCAAAACAAAATATTAATTATATATTTAAATACTAATATAAAAAATAATATATTTAGAAAGAAATATAGATAATATATAATTAAATAATAATTATATTAATTTTTATATAATTTAATTTTAAATATTTATTTTTTATATATTTTTTAAAAAATAATATATTTTATTATATATAAAAAAATTAAATTTATAAATTCATATTTTTATAATAATATAATATAATTTAATTAATATATATAAAAATAAATAAAAAATAATATTTTTTAATTATTAAAAATTTTAAAATATTTATTATATAACTAAAAAAATATATATATATTTAAATTTCAAATTTAAAATTTTCAAAAAAATAAAATAAATGCAATAAAATACTAATAATAACAAAAATTAAATTGAAAATTGCTTTAAATCATTTACAAATCTAGCAAATACTTTATAAACCAAAAAAATAAAAAAAAACTGTTCACAAAGTTAATTAAATATTAATATAAATAATGAAAAATGTATAAATCATCCTTAAAAAGATGTAAAAATATAAATTATAATATAATAATATCATAAATAAATAGGCTAAATATTTTGCATGTATAGAATAAAAAGAAACATATTACATATGCTCTAAATGTGGAATTTAATATGCTAATAAAGGTTATACTGTAATCGAAATAATTAATAAAGAAAAAAAGTAATAAAAATAATAAAATAATTTAAGATAATTAAGAGATGACCTTAATAAACATTATTTAAACTAAATAAATATAGTCGAATAATAATTTATAGTTATAGAATAATAAATAATGGCAAAGAAAAATGAAGTTTTAAATATAATTAATGAAAATAGAATAAAAAATGAAATATTAATAAATGAAATGATAAAAAAAATTGAAAATGAAAAAATTATATTTAATAAATAATAAATGGAAACAATATATATTAAAACAAATAAAATAGAAGAATTAATAAATAATATTTATTATATATAAAATAAATAAATACATATTTTTAATAATTATGATAATACATAACCACAAATATATGAAGAATAATAAATAAAAATAACATAGTAATAATAATAATAATAAACAAAATAATAATAATAATAAAATAATAATAATAATAATAAAAATAATAATAATAATAATAAACATTCAGATTATTATTTTAAAATGAACCTGAATATTAAGATAATAAAAATAGTTTAAAATATAAAAATATTATAGAAAAAATACATGAATCTTAATGTAAAAATTCTAATTTTTATTCTGAATTTCTTAATAAAAATTAAAATAATCTTAGAAATTAATTAAAAAATGTTAAAAACGATTTTAAAAAAATTGTTCTTATTTTAAAAAATAATACTAATAAATAAATTAATGATAGTTTAATTCAAGAAAATCTTGTTAATTCTTTTTAAAACTTAGATACTTGTGAAGGAGATATTTAATATACTTCTTATGATAATGTTTATGCTAATTTAGATTTTATTTATGAAAGTTATATAAATAATTAAAATAATATATAAGAATTCCAAAGTTGTTTAAGCTCAATCGAAGATGTTTAAAAAAATAATGTTTGATATAGTTTATATATTTTAAATTAATTATTAGAATAAATAATAAAAATAATAAATATTTTTCTTATAATAATAAAAACTAATTTATATTTTTGTAATAAATTTATATTATTTGTTTATAGATTTTTATTTTACTCTATAATATGTGTTTTAAAACTCAATAAAATAATAAAAAGGCTTTTATCCATTTATTTTTTTGACTTTTTTTATATATATTAAATTTTTATATAAATTAAAGTTTTTATCTATTTTTTATTATTTTTTAAAATATATTTTTTTGTTAGTATATATTATAGATTAATTTTCCTTTTTATTATTCATAAATAAAAATATAATTTTATTTTTTGTATTTATATCTATTTAATAAAAAATTATTTAGAAAAAATCTACTCTACAAATTTTTAATTTAAAATAAGAAAAAAAATATTTATTTCTATATATAAATATTTTTCTGTAAAAATATTTTTTTATAAAAACATTTCAAAAATAAAAACACTCATTATTAAAATAAAAAAATGAAAACACTTTTTCTAAACTTAATATTAATATTATTTGCAATATATAAAACAATTCATTCATTAAAAATAAGCATAAATCTTGAATCTTTTAATGCCTATAATGATCCTCCAACAGTAGCAGCTTAACCAAATCCAAAAAACGTAATGTTAGATCCCATTAGCAGGCTAATGCTATCCACCTAAAAATGTTTCGCAAACTTTTTATATATCACACCTTTATGAGGAAGCGTAACAATATCCCAACCAACAGCGGAAGAATTAGATATTTTATAAAAAATAACTGATCAAGCATAAATATAATACGTAAGAGCTAAATAATATTTCACAAATATATGCGATCCTGAATATTTGAAAAGAAAGACGTTTATTTTTTATGACAAAAATGATGCAACGAAATATGAAGCTTAATAAATTCATGATTTAAAATATGGGGTAAATACAGAATTATTAATTTATGTAGATTATAATTTTAATTAAAATAATTAAAATGATCCTGATAAAAAATATTTTTCTATCTGTTTGGATCCTTAGTATAAATCGAAAATTGGAATATAGAATTTAGCTATGGTCATGTTTTATAGTGATACAGATATTTTAATTAATCCATAAATTAGTGTAGGGGAAAAAGATTAAGTTTTTTAAACTATATTAGGGCAGCTTAAAAAAGCCTTTTTAATAGAAATTTTCAAAATTTAAAATATTAATGGTTGGATAGATATGGATAATTAACAACAAACTATATTAAAAAATCCATAAAATTCTTTAAGATTTGTTAATAAATTAAACCCAACCACAATTTATACTAAGAATATTCTAAATGTAGCTAGAAAATATTATAATTGTAAATTAATTAATGGAATGTATTTAGAATATATAGATGATTTCACATCTATGTTATATAGAGTAAAAAAAATACAAAATAAAATAAAATATATATATACAATTTTTATATATATAAATAGGATAAAAATTATTAAAATACATTATTATGGAGTGGTATATATGCATTTAATGATATATTTACGAACTCTTAATATACAATATAAGAACATTAAGTTTTGTCAATATTTACAATCGCAGCTTTATTAGATACTGGTTTTTTTACAGGAGTAAACATGAATTATGCTGAAAATATGACTTTTGGAAAAAATAGAGGCTGCACTTTTTACTCAAATACATGTAATGGAAAAACTAAATTAAATCCTGAATATGTGAACAAAAATTTAGGGGCAAAATACTGTGATAGTGTTAATTTTTTATATAAAAATGAAGTGGTTTTGTCTGAAAAAAACTAAAGAAACGGATGTAAGAGCGAGAAGAAAAGTTATTGCTATTAAAGAGTTGATAAATGGGAAAATACTGATAAAATTTAATACTTTGGGGAAAAAAGTAGATGTTTTATATCTAATGCGTCTACAAATGCAGTAGCTTAAGAGGATGAAGGTATTAGATGCATTTATACGGAATGTAATGCTGGAAGAGTCGAAATTTATCTAAATTAAGATTCTTTGGTTTAAAGAAGGCCTCTAATATGTTAAAATAGGGCTGTTTTAAATATCAATGGGGTTAATGATTAAAATGGAACTATTACTTGTCCCGATGATTCTGTTAGCTTTTGTGCAGTTAATGCAAGTAAGTTAGTTTAAAAATGCCCAAATAATTGTTCTATGAATGGATTTTGTTTTTAAGATAGTATATGTTTCTGTTTATAGGGAAAATAAGGAGAAGGGTGTGAAATAAATTGCTAAAATAATACATGTCCTGATTGTCCAGAAGGTTAATTTAAAAATCCTAATAATGTAATATTTTTTTTTTTCTTTAATATTTTATTTAATTTTAATTTTATTAAAAAATAAAAGATTTGTAAAAGTAGTTGCCCTTTAGGGTTTTATGGAATTAATAATATTTGTCATATGTGTTTTTGGAATTGTAAAGAATGTAATGGTGGAGAATATAATAATTGTACTAAATGTCATGATCATTAAATTTTTTATAATAATTAATGTTATGATATTTGTCCTGATAGTACATATTTAGATGAGGTTAATTTCAAATGTAAAAAATGTGATGACAATTGCAATTTTTGTGTAAAAGCAGGTGAATGTTTAGATGAAATTATTACTGATTCTGGATAAATTATTAAATTTTTAAGCATATTTTTAATAATTATTATTTTTGTATGAGTATTTTTTTTATAATATAATATTTTATATATATATAAAATAATAATTTATAATTTTTTAAAATATAATGTTATTTTATGATATTTCTTTATTTAGTTTTTTATTATTTTTTTAAATATTATTTAATATATATTATTTATATATATTTTTTTTATCATTATAAATCTTTATTGCTTAATTAGATTTAATATATAATAGATAAAAATTTAATAAAGGATTACTATATTTATATTTAAAAAAAAAAAATGAATTAACCTAAAAAAGGAATTTTAATAAAACATTAAAATACAATTGAGTAATAAAAACAAATATTTAAATATAATAATAATAATTAAATATCATAGAAAAAAAGATATTACATGGGATGAAAAAGCTATTGAGTATATTTTAAACATAAATAATAAAATTATTAATTTAAAAAAAATAAAAAAATAAGAGAACATGATTAACAAAGAGGAAAAACATAGAAAATAACTGAACCAAAAACGCCTTATAATCATGAATTAGTTAAATTATAAAAAAATGATTTTTATTTAATTAATAAACATTTATATATATAAATAAATATATTTTTTTTGCATTATTCTAGAATTATTATGATACAGATGATATTGATTAATTATATGAAGCTGAAATAAATAAAGAAAAAATGGAAGTAATTATAAATAATAATTGCTGTTATTTAATTAAATATTTTTCTTGAAATTAATAAAAATCAGAATAAAAAAATTGATATTAATAAATTAAATTAAGTCTTAAAAGAAGAACTTGATAGAGAGTATATTAAATTTTTTTTAAAGATTTATATTAATATTTTTATAGAAGAAAAGAACTTGCATTAAATTCAGATGAAGAAAATGAAATGGAATTGAAAAAAAGTACTAAAATATATTAAAATTTTTACTTACTTATTTAATTAAAAATAAATAAAAGAAGCTGAATTTGCGAAAAAAAGAAAACAACACTATAATGAAGGATATATGATTAAATAAATGAAGTAAAAAAAAAATATATTATATTATTTTAATTTTATTTAGAGAAAAAATGCAAAATGAAGAAAAAGATAATGATGAATGAAATTTATATATGTGTATATATATATATATATATATATATATATATATATATATATATATATATATATATATATTATTATTGATATTTCAATATTTTATTTTTCACTTTTTTGCGTATATTAATATTTAATTTAAAATAAATAATAATTATTTTAATATTTTATTAATTATTTTATTATAATAATAATATTTCATTGTAATTAAAAAAAAAAAATATATATTATTATATTTCTAAATAAAATTTTTAATTTATTTATTTATTTTTATATTAATATAATATATATTAATTATTTAATTTTATTAATGAAACATATATATAATATAAATATTTTAATATTTTTATCTTTACAAATAATTTAAATATTTTTATTATTTTTTAATATGTAAGAAGATAAACCATTTTAAGTATATCTTGATGCACCTTCTTAAATTAATTTTGAATCTATTTAAGATTATTATTTAAATAAAAAAAAATAAGAAGGTGAATATATTTTTATAAGTGAAACTTAAAAATAAGAATTGAAATAAAAATATATGAATTTATTAGAATAAAAAAAAAGACATTTGAATCATTTAATTGAAAATGAAAGAAAAAATTTATACCAATAGTTTATAGTGGAAAAAAATAATATTTATGAATAGTAAAAAGTAAGTGATTTATTGGAAAGTATATAAGATTAAATATAATTTTTAGAAAAAAGTTCAAGCTAATTTTAAAGCGAATAATAATAAAAATAAAAATAGATTTAATAATAAATGGAACTTTTTATATTAAAAGACTAAGAAGAATTATTAGATAATTAAATAAATATAGTTTAGTAGCAGATTCAATAAATATAATATAAAAAAACAAGTTGATTAATTTATATATATTAGAAAGAGAATAATTTTTATATAAATAAATTAAAAATAAATATATATATATTCATATTAAATAGGTTTATAAATAATATAATGGATTAGATATTTTGTATTTAATTTATCTAAATTATTAGAAAATCATCAAAATAATATACATTTAACATAAATATATAATTTTAATAAAAATATTTATTTTATTTTATTTATTTTTCATATTTATTAATTTATATTTTCATAATATATTATTTTTTCATATGTTTTTTTTAAACTTTATTAAAAATATAAAAGACAAAATGCCTTTATCTTATTTTTTTCTCATCTTTTATTTTGTTTTTAATAAAACATAAATAAATATCAGAATAATTAATTTACATTGAAATTTAATTTATCTAAATTTAACTTTATAATTTCATTTTTAATTTTTACTTAGATATATAAATAAAATATAAAACTTCATAAAAATATATATAATTATCAATATATTTTTAACTTTTTGTAACTATAATTAAATTAAAGTTATTTCATAATATTTTAATCTAATTAATAATAAAATTAAATAATAGTTTTCTTTCTAATTCTTTAAAGAAAAATAAATTAATATAAAATTAAAGGTAATAAAAATTTAAAAAATAATTTTTGTAAATTATATAAATGTAATGCATATTTATTTACTTTTTGATTTATAATTTAAGTATATTACTAATTTTATTTAATAAATCATAAAAATTATGGATTTTCTATATAAAGATAGATTAATCAATAATATAAAAAAATAAAATGAAATAAAAATACTAAACTAAATATAATAAAATAAATTTTAATAATTATTTCTAAATTCAACTTTTACTTTATTTTTAATTTAAGTTTAATTATAACTTTATGAAAAATATTTTACCTTAAACTTATATTTTTTATAAATGTTATAATATTTTTAAAATTTAATTTTAGTTTATTTTACTAATTTTAATATATTTATTATAATTATTTTTATTATTAATATTAATTATAAAATTTTATTATTTTTTCTTATTATATTAATTTATTAAAATTTATAAATTTATTAGGTTAATTATAAATAATATATTATTATAATTTAATTGCTTTTTTAAATAAATATATAAACTTCAATAATTTAAAAATTTAAAGTCTTTAAAAAACATTTAATATAATTCTTATTATTTACAAAAAAAATATTAAAAAATTATTTATAATTAAGAAGATTTTTTTAATATAATCACTTAAATTATATTAAATTAAATAAATGTATTTCATATTTTAATACAATAAATAAATAAAAAATATTATTTTATATTTAAATAATTTATTTTATTTATTTATCATATTTTAAATTTTATTTATTGATAGCCTATTTACACTTTATCCTTAATATATTATTTGCAAAATTAAAGATAAAAAATAATTATATAAAAATAAATGTTTATGTATATAATATAAACTAATAAAAATTAATAATCATAAGTATATTTTTTTATATTTGTAATTTATTAATAATAAATTATAGAAAAATTATAGTTGAATCATTAAGTTTTAATTATTCTCTATTTAATAAATAAAAAATAAAATATTATATGAGTGTTATTGATTTAAAATAATATATGCTAATTAAATATATAAACATTTATTTATAGAAAATTATATTATTTATTGATTTTTATTAAAATATTATATACACTTTAGAATAAATCAATAATATAAAAAATGTATATAAAATTATTACTTTGTTAATACTTTTTTTTATAATTGACATTACAACATACTATATAAGATTTTTAAAAATGTATGGATAGTAATTGTGGCGAATATGCATGTTGGAAATCTTATGATCGTTCAAAATGTGAATAATTGGATGTAGAATTTAATACATGTTATGAAGAGTAAGAAAATTGCATAAATTTCTAAAAATAATGGATGAAAGTAAAAGATTAATAAGATAGTGAAATGATTGATTTTACACCTTGTTATAACGATTGCAAAAGTATTACTATATAATAAGATTATGTAGATTATCATTATATTTGTAAAGCAAAATGTTCAAAGATTAGTTATTAATATATAATTATTTTTTCAATTTTAAAAGTAATGTTTCTGTCGATTCTATGATAAAAAAAAACTATTATCAAAAATAAATTAAAAGATTCATTTATTTTATTAAAAAAGGTAAAGTAATAATATAAGTTATATTTTATTTTAGTTTTATTCATATTGTTTTTATTTTTAACTTAATTTTTTTTTTATTTTTAAAGAATTAGAATAATTATTCGATATACAAAAAATTTAATATATAATGTGTTTATAATAACTAATTAAAAATAAATTAATTTAATTATGAGTTTTTTTATATATTTTTTTTAAAAAAAAAAATATTTATGTTATATAATATTAATATAAAAATTCATTAAAATAGTTAATAAAAAAAAAAAAAATCAGATAAATTCAAATTTCTAGTAATTAATATAAACTTGAAATGTTGTTTAAATAAATAATATATTTATAAAATTACTAAAATATTTATATATAATATTAAAATTCTAATAAAAAAAAAAAAAATATATAATATAAATTAAATTAGATTAAATATATAAAAATTATAGATAATAAAATTACAATAAAATAAATTTTAAATATAAAAAAAAATAATATATATATATAT